GAGGAAGGGAGAGGGAGAGAGAGAGCTAGAAACATCAATGATGAGAGAGAATCATTGTTTGGCTGCCTCCTGCACACCCCCTACTAGGGAATGAGCCTGCAACCCAGGCGTGTGCCCTTGACTTGAATCGAACCCTGGACCCTACAGGCCGCAGGCTGACACTCTATCCACTGAGCCAAACCAGCTAGGGCATAAATTTAATTTAAAAAAAAAATTTAAAAAGAAGTTGGATGTAATAATCTACAGATCAGAGCTCCAAACTGGAAATACGAACATGAGCATCAGCAGTGTTGTGATATGTAATGCCCTAGGAATGAGGAGCTCTCCCAAGGTGGGATGTCCCTAGAGAAGAGAAACTGGAGAATTGAACATTAAACCACTCTGACATTTAAGGACAGTCAGAGAAGGAGGAGCCACTGAAGAAAGCTGGAGAGGAAAAGCCAATGAGATAGAAAGAAAATGCATGTGGCAAACTGCAAACCAAGTGAATGTTGGGGACATGGGACTTATACCTCAGTGTGTAGTGACAGAGATGGCTGCTTGGTAGCATGAAAGGAGGCTCAGTGCCAGGTTGTGGGATGGGAATAACTTGTATTTGTTTTGTATTGTAATAAACGAAAGACATGTGAAATGTCCATGTGAACTCTCCCATAGGACCTCCAAGATGGAGAAAAAGCAGCTAGAAACACCTTGATGAACAGTGACATAAATTCTGTTTGCCCTAAGGAACTGAGACATGCTCAAAAGTTGGCAGATTTCTTCCTTTTTTATTTTTTTTAACTTCTATTAGCAGCAAAAAAGTATTATCAAATAGCTTACTGGAAAGGGCAAAATAAAATATGCTGATTAGACCTGCTTGAACTCTTTGGCATTTGGGAGAGAAAAGGTTAAGATTTCATAAGTGGTAACTGAGAACTAATATTCTTAGATTTCCAGTAGGTAACAGTAATTTAAGCCACACACACACAAAAAAAGAGAAGGTAACTCAGCAAAAGGTATATTTCAAGTTGTGGTGAATTGTGTTTTTTAATGTGTTTTCTAGCTCAGAGACTTCACAGAAGTAATGACACTTGCCTAGACAGAAAAGAACATTGCCACCCCTGCTTAATATTTACCTAGTGCCCAGAATGAGGAGTATTTGGGGCACTTACAGATTGGGTGACATAGAAAGCTGTGGGACTGATTCCACATTTCATTTGTGGTCCAAACTTGCATGATTTCTTCTCC